AATGCTTCCATGTTGTTGTAAGGAAATTAATCATGCATATCCATGAAATCATTAATAGTCAAGATTCGCTCTAAGATAACTTTATATTTTTAATGGATGTCATAAGTTTTAGGTTTTTGAAAACTAGCACCAAAGCATGTTCTTTTTAAAAGATCAACACATTTTTATCTCATAGAGCCCTGACAGATACGGTACCTTTGATGGTTATGAGATCTAAGATCAGGTGCATAACAATTTTGGCCTGCTTCTACAAACACAAGTAATTTTGGGATTTGTACCATTGTCCTTTAAAATGAATAGAAAGTGTATTTTGTTACTTTTTACATATGTGGTCTTTTAAGGAGTCACCTGCTCACAGGTTTTTGTTTTTTTGTTTTGGCTAGTTGAACAAAACTCTTTAGATGGCTTTACTATCTATTAAACTCAGAGTTATTATGTAAAGATTCATCTACTGTTCTTGGGTCTCTTCAGTGGCCAGAGGGATCCAATTTCACCTGCCTACACATCTTCAAGCAATTAGCGCTATTAGCTTGAAGCTATTTCACATTCAAGGTCCATGATGACATTCAAGTCCACAGGATCTCTGCAAATTAAAAGGGAAAGAAGAAGCTTATTGAGAATGCAGACTGATCACCACCCATCCCTAGGATCACTGTGTACTAACACAATTGGGTGAACAAAATCTTTATTGCCGAGATCTAGTTTCTGTCAGAAAATGGCTATGGGATAATTCAGTGTGTGTGTGTGTGTGTGTGTGTGTGTGTGTGTGTGTGTGTATACATACATACATACCTATACACACACATACGTATAACACACATATCTATACATATACATACATGCATATACAGTATATGCATACACATATGTATGTGTGTGTGTGTGTGTTTGTATATGTGTGTGTGTGTATGGATCTTTGGTTATTCGGGTTTTCTCCCGCGTAAGATTGGCAGTATCTAGGCAACGTTTCGATGAAGTCTCATTCATCATCTTCAGGCTTCTGTCTTCGGCTCTGTGCTTCTCAGAGTGATGTGAGCTTGAGCTGCTTCTTCCTTTTAACTGCCAGTGGGGGTGTGACTTGATTGGGTGGGGGCTTGGCTGTGTTCTGATTGGGTGGGGGTGTGTTCTGATTGGTTGGGGGTTTGGCTGTGTTCTGATTGGTTGGGGGGTTGGCCGTGTTCTGATTGGCTGGAGGTGTGTTCTGTTCAGTTGGAGGCTTGGCTGTGCTCAGGTTAGTCTTAGTTGTTGGGGGATTTGAGTTGGTGAGCTGTGATCTTGCTGTTTTTTGGCTCTTTTTGTCTCTTGATTGGCTGGCAACATTGTGTTACTTTATTGGAGGCCTTTAGTGCACCTTGGCTCCGGGTAAATGGACGGCTATCATTAGTTAGGAAGCTAGGTTTCATCTGAGTGCCTGGTTGGGGTGTGTTTGAGCTGGAGGTATCAGGGGGGATCTGTCTCTGCCCAGGTGTTTGCCTGGCTTGTGGTGTGGAGATTTTTTTGTTTGTGAGTGCAGGCTTCCAAATGGTTGACAGTCTGGTGGAATCATCTCTTCTATTCATGCTTTCTGGTCTTTTTTCAATCTCTATGGCTTATCTGATGATTCTGTGGCTGGGGTTTTCTATAGTGGCTAGGGTTTTGGTGCCATTGAAGTTGATGCTATGACCTGTGGCTTCCATGTGTTGGACTAGTGAGGAAGTGTGTTCCAGCTTTTTGACTGCATTTTTGTGTTCATCCAGGCGGGTACTTATTCTTCTATTGGTCTGTCCAATGTATGTGGCTGGGCATGATGCACAGCGGACTTCGTATATGCCTTGGTTTTCCAGGTCAATTTTATCTTTGGGGTTTCTAAGGATGGCTGCTATTTTTCTGTCTGTTTTGAAGGCAGTCTTGATGTGATGTCTGTGCAGTATCTTACTAATTTTGTCTGTAGTACCTCTTATGTAGGGCAGGACAGCAGTTCCATAGGTCTGTCCATCTTCTGGGTCTCTATTATGTCTCAGTGTGTTTTTGTGGATCAAGCCGGTGATTTTGCTTTTGTGGAAGCCGTTGGCTGTCAGTACCTTAGTCAGGGTGCATAGTTCAGTCTTTATGTGTGTCTTGTCTGCCAGGCGTTTGGTTCTGGTAATTAGTGTTTTAGCCACGGAGTTTATCTGTGCTGGGTGGTGGTGGGATTGGGCGTTGAGGTAGCGGTTAGTGTGTGTTTTCTTCTGGTATACGGTGTGTCCTAGTGTGCCATCTATTTTTTTGTAGATTAGTACATCTAGGAATGGTAGTTGTTTGTTTCTGTTTCCATGGTGAACTTGATTTTGGGGTGTGTGCTGCTTAGGTGTGTTAGGAAATAGTTTAGGTTTTCTTTTCCATGGGGCCAAATCACGAATGTGTCATCGATGTATCTTAACCATAGTTTGGGTTTGTGGATGGCATTGGCCAGGGCTCTGGATTCGAATTCTTCCATGAACAGGTTTGCAATGACGGGTGACAGTGGTGATCCCATAGGGGCTCCTTCAATTTGTTTGTATCTTTGTCCTTTGTATATGAAATATGTGTTGGTTAAGCAGTGTTCTGTTATTCCATGAGGTGTTTAGCTGGTTGGTATTTATTTTTGATGATTTCAAGGGTCTCTTTTATCGGGACTTGAGTGAATAGTCAAACCAAGTCAAAACTTACAAGCAGATCTTCTTGCTCCACATGTAGATCTTTGATCATTTCCAAGAAGTGGTATGAGTTTTGTACATGTGAAGCTGCTGTTTCAGCATGGGGCTGTAGCTGTTTTGCTAAGTATTTGGCTAGGTTTTGTAGTGGTGCTCCTCTGGAGCTGACTATGGGTCTGAGAGGTATGCCTTCTTTGTATTTTTGGGAGGCCGTATAGTTTGGGGCATCTGGAAGATTTTTCTCTTGGGATGATAGTCTGTTGGATCTCTTTGCTCATGTGGCTGGTTATAATTTTCTTCTTGGTTAATTTTTCCAGGTATGTGGTTGGGTCTGTGTTTATGGGTTTGTATGTGGAGTCTTGGAGTAGGTCTGTCAATTTTGTTTCATAGTCTTTTCTGTCCATTACTACTGTGGCATTCCCTTTGTCTGCTGGGAGTATGATTATGCTGTTATCTCTTTTCAGGGTTTGTAGCGCTTTAATTTCTTCTTTCTGCAAGTTGCTTTTGGGTGGTTTGCTCGTGCAGGGGATGTTGGTAACTTGGTGTCTTATTTTATCAGCTTCATCTGTATTTAATTTGGTTAGGCTGGATTCTACTGCACATATGATGGATTCTGTGGGGATTTTTTGGGGTGCTGTAGCATAATTGAATCTTTTGGTTAGGACATCTGTTTCTGTTTTGGTGAGTTCTCTGTTGGAAACGTTGTATATTAATTGCTTCAGGTGTTGTTGTGAGTTGTTGGGGGTTTTCTTGTCCTGTTCTAATTGAATGCCACAAAAATCTACAAAAAAAACAGATGGCATACTAGGACACAATGTATACCAGAAGAAAACACACACTAACCGCTACCTCAACGCCCAATCCCACCACCACCCAGCACAGATAAACTCCATGGCTAAAACACTAATTACCAGAACCAAACGCCTGGCAGACAAGACACACATAAAGACTGAACTATGCACCCTGACTAAGGTACTGACAGCCAACGGCTTCCACAAAAGCAAAATCACCGGCTTGATCCACAAAAACACACTGAGACATAATAGAGACCCAGAAGATGGACAGACCTATGGAACAGTTGTACTGCCCTACATAAGAGGTACTACAGACAAAATTAGTAAGATACTACACAGACATCACATCAAGACTGCCTTCAAAACAGACAGAAAAATAGCAGCCATCCTTAAAAACCCCAAAGATAAAATTGACCTGGAAAACCAAGGCATATAGGAAGTCCCCTGTGCATCATGCCCGGCCACATACATTGGACAGACCAATAGAAGAATAAGTACCCGCCTGGATGAACACAAAAATGCAGTCAAAAAGCTGGAACACACTTCCTCACTAGTCCAACACATGAAAGCCACAGGTCATAGCATCAACTTCAATGGCACCAAAACCCTAGCCACTATAGAAAACCCCAGCCACAGAATCATCAGATAAGCCATAGAGATTGAAAAAAGACCAGAAAGCATGAATAGAAGAGATGATTCCACCAGACTGTCAATCATTTGGAAGCCTGCACTCACAAACAAAAAAATCTCCACATCACAAGCCAGGCAAACACCTGGGCAGAGACAGATCCCCCCTGATACCTCCAGCTCAAACACACCCCAACCAGGCACTCAGATGAAACCTAGCTTCCTAACTAATGATAGCCGTCCATTTACCCGGAGCCAAGGTGCACTAAAGGCCTCCAATAAAGTAACACAATGTTGCCAGCCAATCAAGAGACAAAAAGAGCCAAAAAACAGACAGGAGATATTAGAAACACCAATCAAGCAGAACGCAGCAAACTCCAAGACCAATAAACAAAGACCAAGACTCCCAACCAATCAGGGTGAAGAAAAAACCATTCTGGCACAGAAATAGGCTGCCCCAAATTTAAATCTGAAACCACTATAAAAGCCTGACTCACAGATGAACACTATACAGAAGCCTGATGATGGCAGATGAGATTCTGCTGAAACGTTGCTATAACTTTAAAAGCACAACTACTATGACGTGGGAAAATACCCGAACAAAGCTGAATGCCATCTCTCTATATGTATACACACACACATACCTATACACATAAATACAGTATACATATACACACACACATATGTGCATGTATGTATACGTGTGTATGTGTACACACACACACACACACACACACACACACACACAATATTGATGTCCAGATTAATACTCAGGTACCGAGGCTATGGTTGCTTCTAACTTACAGAAGGGCTTAAGCTCATTGCACAGACTGCTTTTTCAATCAAAGATTTCAGTTCCAATGACAGGCAGACCCATCTTTCCAGTGACAACTTTTGAAAGTATTTTTTAAAATAAGATTGAAGCAGATTAGCAATGACCTTATAAAAGATTAAACTAGTACAGTTTAAAGATAAATAATCAGCCTTTAGTTCATTAGATAGCCACAATGCATGACAGAAGGTGACTTTCTTATAATAGTGATAGAATCCAGATTTTTTGCATATTTCATATCTAGAGCAGAGAAAGAGTGGTACTCCAAAAATTGGGAGTTTGGAGTTGATTGTGTTCCATAGGAAAAACAACTATTCCCTTAATACTGTCATCATATCAGCAGTCGTTGTTGTACAACATGTAACTGCAGAAGATCTGGCTTGGCTGCAAATATTTTAAAGCCAAAACTTGCATACACTACAGGGGTGGTATGTACCCAGGTGCCAATAAAGGAATCAAGGCATTTGTCTAGGATGGCACAAGGAGTAGTGATGGAGCAACCAACAAAAGCAGGCTGTTATTAAACCAAGCAGAAAGCCTCAGTGGTACTAAACTAGGTAACCTCTAGATCAGGGGTTGCCAACCTTTTGGACCTCATGGACCACCAATCTCATAATTTTAAATCCCGCAGACCAGAGACCCTGGGAAAATCCCCCAAAAAGTCTGCAGGAAAATTCCCTACTCCGTTTTCCAACCGATCGATCATTCTTTATTGGGGATCACAGGATACCATCTCCAGCGCAGTTCTCAGGGGGAGGCAGGGAGGGAGTTTTGGCTTTATGCAAGGAAAGCAGCAGAAGCAGCAGAAGTCTTTCTTTCTCTGCCCCAAATTCCACCAGAAATGAGTCTTTGCTGGCGCAGCCTCTTGTAACAGGTACCTTGCAGGGTCCCAAAGACTCATTTCTGGTAGAGTTTGGGGCAGAGAAAGAAAGACTTTTGCTGCTTTCCTTGCGTGCAGCCAAAAGCAGAAGAAGAAAGAAGCGGAAAGAAGCAACCCAGTGGCCAGGTGAGGCATGTGGGGCGAGTGGGGCAGGTTCTCCCCCTCCACCCTTCCCCCCCACTACCTCGTGTTGTTCGCAATACAAGCGATGCAAGCCTTGTGTTCCCGCAGGCCATGTGGGCGGCACAGCCCTGTGTTCCCATGCAGCCTGGATTAATTGCTTTGGGGGGGTGATTTGGAAGTGACATTTCTCTGCGACCACCAAAATTTTCTTGTGGACCACCAGTGGTCCCCCTGACCCACTGGTTGGCGACCACTGCTCTAGATGGCAGCAACGATACACAGAAAACTTTGATTCTTTGCTGCCATCAAGTGGTCATGCAGCTGCCTACAGATCTGGAAGCTAGAGTGCTGATGCAACCTGACAGGCTGCTACATCCTTGGGAAAGCAACCAGAGCCATCACTGTTGTTGTTTGTCCCTAGAAGTGCCACATATATGCAAGTGTCATAGACTAGAACAGGTCTATTCTTACAAACAAACAAACTCGGTCTTTGTTTGGGTTGGCATAGTGCAGTGTTCCTTAATTTTGGCCACTTTAAGGTGTGCCAATTTCAGCACCTAGAATTAAAGTTGCCAAGGCTGAGAAGCACTGACCTACAGGTAGTCCTCAACTTATGAACACTGTTGGGACCAAAATTTCCATTGCTAAGCAAAGTGGTTGTTAAGTCAGTTGTGCCCAATTTTGTGAATCTTTTTGCAATGATTGTTTAATCAGGTCATTAACAGTTGTTAAATGAATCATGTGGTTGTTAAGCAAATTGGGCTTTCCCCATTGATTTTGCATGTTGGAAGCCAGCTGAGAAGATTGCAAAATGAGCCTTTGGGACCTGTGACTGTTACAAGTGCATGTCCATCGCAAAGAACCCAAATTTTGATCACCTGATCAGGGGAACGCTGCAACAGTCATAAGTGCAAAGACCAGTCATAAGTCACTTTTTTCAGTTCAATTGTAACAGTCACTAAACAATTGTAAGATGAGGGCTACCTGTAGTACAGGGGTGTCAAACTCACATCGTCATCATGTGACATATCAGGACCTTTTCCCCTTCGCGAAACTGGATGTGAGCATGGCCAACATGTGATGCATCCGGCCCACAGGCCGAGAGTTTGACAGTCCTGCAGTAGTAAGTCCCAATTGAGAGGTTTCCTTTAGTTCTCAGACAGTCCTTCTTAGATCCCTAAATGGCAAACTAAAATTGCAACCTTCATCATTGTTTTAGCACAGTTATTCTCTTGCTTTATTATGCAAGGCTAATTTTAAAAGCTATTCTTGCTACAAAAGAATATCTTCCTTTGCTGTCCCAGAGGGTATTCTTAATCAGGAATAACCACAGGCTAAATTATAATGTAGAAGTCTGCTGCCCTTTTGGTAAGGCTGCCTGCTCATCCTGTGTTTGTTAACAAACACTTCTAAGTACAAAATTGTTGGGAAAATGCTTTTTTCATTATTTTCAGCAACTTCAATTAAAGTAAGAAGCTTATCGGAAAGAGGTAGGAATTTAAAATGTATGGATTTTCCCCAGCAAAGTTTTAGTGATCATTCCCACATAAGCGTTTCCTCCTTTGGTGTTAACTGTCTCAGAGATAGGCCAATTTAAGTAATATCCTCCAACAAACATTGGTCTTTCAACAGTGAAGAGAGAACGCAGCAGCTAATCAGATTTCTAAGCAATTTTCAAGAAATGGAACTCTTAAGGCTCTGTAAATGGGTGGCATTTCCAAGAGATTTTCCAATTTACAAATACTAGCAGACCTCAGTATTTCTGGTTACCATATTAAGCTACAATCCAGAAGTATAGGTAGTCCTTGACTTAGGACCACACTTGAGCCCAAAATTTCTATGGCTATTAAGTGAATTTGGTCTTATTTTATGAATGTCTTGCAACAGTTGTTAAATGAATTGTTACAGTTGTTCATTTAGTACAGGAGTATCAAAACTCATGCTGTCATATTGTCATGTGACATATCGCGACTTCCACCTGCTTCGCTAAAATGGGGGTGGGCGTGGCCAGCATGTGATGCATCCGGCCTGTGGGCCACGAGTTTGACAGCCCTGATTTAGTAACATGGTTATTAAATGAATCTGGCTTCCCATTGACTTTGCTTGTCGGAAGATCGCAAAAGAGGATAATGTGAGCCCAGGACATGTATCTGTCATAAATAAGAGGCAGTTGCCAAGCATCTGAATTTTGATTATATGACTATGGGGATGCTGCAACGGTCATGAGTGTGTCTATGGAGATTCTCCCATCATCCAAGTCATGGTTGTCTCGAAGGTGCTTTTTCAAAATGGAAAAAAGAAAAAAAAAATTGTCCAGTTGCCTTTTGAAAAAGCACCTATAGTCATTAGTGTGAAAAGCAGTAATCAATCACTTTGTTCAGTTCCATTGTAATTTTGAACGATCCCTAAATGAATTGTTGTAACTTGAGGACTACCTGTATTTCTCTGGACCGTGAGCCTCATTGGAGCATAAGCACGTGTTGCGGTATTTGGGGTGGACTCCTGAATTTCTACAGATAACTCCTTCCTAATATCTACAACCGAAAAGTGAAGCACCACAGACACACTGTTCAGTTTAAAATATTTTTTGTTTCACCTGCCTAATTGAGAAGTCTAATTAAAAGATTAAGTGGTAAGTACTGCTGAGTTAGTCCAGGCTTTTTTTTTTTTTTTTTTACAAGAAACCCTCAATTTCCTCCACTTTGCATACCGGGAGCAGAAAAATGGTAGTGCATTAAAGAAAAGGTGATGCCTCTTTAAAGCAGATATTTCCCATTCCACCCCCCACCCCACCCCACCCCCCGCCACATTTCCCTCCCCTTCCCACAGCTGCCTAGACTTTCTGTTTCTGTGATCTGCCTTTTGAATGGTTTTTGTGGCTGATCAGTTCCACCTAATGTGTCTCTTGATTTCTGCTATTGTAATACTCAGACGACATGCTGTTCTCTTCATTTTTATAAGCTTTAGATGCTCCTGCCTGTCATACTCTGCCAGTTTATCTTCAGTGTCTGGATTTGCTTTCAGACTTGCATGTCTATCAAGCTGCTGTTGCTTTGAATGTGAGATCAAAAGAAGATGAATTCCGGTGTTAAAAAAAAAAATCCTCGTAGGAAGAAAAGATTGGGTCCTGTGTAAACTGACAGCTCCCAATGAGTTATTTTAGGTAGCATTAGCACCTAGAATGACAGACAAGTCCAGGAGTTACATGCTAAATAACAAATATCAGAGACTGTAGTACATTTTGCAATAGCAATACATTTTCTAGAGGAATTCTTTTTTTTTTTAAATGGTAAACTACTGTTGCTGGTTGTTCCACCGCTCAACCCTTTATAAGCCATCATCAAGTGTCAGCTCCAGTTTACTTGCCTTGTCAATATCTCTTGTCATTTCTCTTAGATGTCAAAAGAGCAGGGCTTTAATAATTGAGGCTGAGAAAGGGGAGCAGGAGAGATGGCGAACGGAAGATAGTTTACTTAGTCATTTGGATTTAAATAGTGCTTTGGTGACGGGGAATGTAAGAAAAAGAATGAATTTGGGGGAAGATATTGAAGGCATACTCCTGAGAACTTTGATGCAAAGTCTGATTTATTTGAAAGGGGAAAAATTTTATGAAGGAATTTGAATAATTGCTGTGAAGTCTGGCCAACTTTAACAGACATTTATTGACATAAGTGCGTGGGTACCTCGAAGAGTGTGAAAAACAAGCTTTCCAGAACTATGTACAAATAAAGGATTTGCCTAGCTTCATGGCTAAGATGCATTTGCCGTTGTTTCAGCCAGTTATGTATGATTTTAAGCATGCAGCCATCTGCTTTAATAGGGTAGAATTAATATAATTTTTTGGCGTGTTAAGCACAACTTTGAAATTACCTGCAAGCTCCAGTTGACTTGGAAATGGGGGGAAAATTGCTTAAATTCTTGTGGTTTCTTTGTCGTTTCATAAAAGCAGACGTTGCTACTGTGGAGGCAAGCCTCCCGTTGTTGCCTACAAAGGGCAGTGCTCCAATGTGTTTTCCCTTCAGTGTGTGCTTCAGCTGCACAGCACTTCCTGTTTATTCAAACATCTTTTTACCATTCTTCAACCCCCTGCTTCAGACAAACAACCAGGACACATCTTCGGCAAGAAGACGGCAAACTAGAGATTAACAGTAAGCGCTTTCTCTGTGAAACTAAACTCTTTATATTGTCTTTTGAAATATCCAGTGGGAGGGGAAAGAGGACACTATGTAAGGCTGCAAGCAACTTTTATCCTGCTATCTTGCTTGCAATTGTAGGAGATTTTAATTGCTGGGATTTTAAACAAATAAGATGTTTACTGCCTTGTGAATGAAAACAAGATGGATTGTAAACTGGTTTCTGCTAACTTTTTCCTCGTTTGGGGAGGGTTTCTGTCTTGCTTTTCAAGTATGTATCCCAGGAAGTTTCATGTTATCGCTTACATAGAGAGGCATATCGTTCATTTATTGTATGTTTATGTGTGTGAATGTGTACACACGTTTAAGTGAATGAGAGCGAGCCAGCAACCATTGTCCTATCATTGTCTCAAGTTCAGGAAGAACAGCAGCAAAGAAAGAAAGAAAAAGGAGAAAGAGGCTTGAACGAATCTTTGCCTTGTGGCTAGTTCCATTTCTGAATCAGTCTTGTTAATATTTGTAGAAAACAAATGCTAATGAAATGCTGGCTACTGATTGGGTGATGTCTCTTTCATTTATAACTGTTGTCTTGGTACTTCAACAAGCAGAGGGGAAGGACTGAGGGAAGGAAAACTTATTTGCAAAAAGTTTACTTTCATGTCAAAAGACTACTCTTCAGATTTGGAGTATTGATTTAATACCAGAAGCTAATGCTTACAACAGCTGCTACGTTTCAGTAGAACTTGTTTGTGTCCCTTAACACATATTGCATTTTTGTTGGCAATTTATGATATTCCTCAAGGAAAGTCCTCTTAACGCTAGCTGATACCTACCTTTTTATTTAATGGTTTGAAGCGTCAGAGCCATAGAGTGAAAATGGAAAATGGATAATCTATAATAGGAAACAGCATCCTTAAAAAAGCTTCTAGGAAATCTGTGATATGCATAATGTTTTAAGAAGGTAATGTTTTAGAACAAATTCATATTTATGAACAATTGCAGGTGCAGCACACATATTTAAGAATATGTGTACGCATTCGTGAAGGATGTGGGAGAGGTGGCTGATTTTCAGAAATATGCCATTGGAAAAAATAACAATGCTGGCAATTGCTTGAGGACAGTTTATTTAACTGAAAGATTAATTGCATAGAGAAGATGGAAAGGGTGACTATAGTTATTTACTCAGATGCTAGTGTAGGTGTAGGCCTGCAAAGCTCACTGTGGGAACAGTGGTCTGTTGCCTTTCCTAGTATATCAGTCTGTTTGATGACGATCAGATTTCCCAGCTTGCTGATTCTGTTTTTTCTGGAGAGCAAGCTTGATTATTTATCAGAAGGAAAAGGGAGTAGCTCAAATAAATAAACATGTGACCATTCCCTTGTTTTCTTTGTGGCCATAAGAAATTCAAGGAAATAATAAAAGCATTGTGTTTTTATTTATTTATTTTTTGTAAAGAAAGAAAGAAACATTATGTGTTGATTTAATTTGAAGGAAGAAAAGTTTAAGTTTTTTCCCCTGGTGTTCCAGGGCTTTGGCTTTCTAAAAATTTACAAGGTTCTCAAGCAAAAATTAATCTGCTGCTTTGTGTACTCTTCTACTGGAATGTTTCCATAGATAACATTGCCAACTGCTTGGAACTTGAACTGGATTGATTACAATAAGGCTTGTTTCTCTACCTCCTTTGAAAATGTCACTTCCTTCTTTTAACTCATCAGCTAGGAGCTGCCTAAATGAGGGTCTTTGGGCTCTTGTGGAAGGGTGGGGGCGGATACTGATTTTTAGAGCAAAATATCCACAGGCTAGTTATGATTTCACCCCAAAATCAGCTGTTCTCAGTGAACATGTGGCATTTGCAACTGTATTAAAGCACCTTTTGGGGGGACATGGTTCCTATGAATGTTATTATACACACTTCTGTTTTTAATAATATCTCAGGAGTCAAAATCTTATGAACTAAATTACTATCAAGAAAGGAAAATATATATGGCAAAGTTAGTAGGAGCAATATGGTATGTTTTACTGATTTCACTGAGTTACAAAAAAAGGTACAAAAGTGATTTTTATATTGGATATATGGATAACTGAATAGATTTGTTTAAGAATCTTATGTTATCTCTCAGACTTCACCATTGCATTAGTCTATAGCATTAAACAATTAGCTTCATTCTGTTGGTAAAACCATACTGAAAGGCTGCTGTAAGAAGTTTTAATAGGGTACTTTTGTTGTCTTCCAGCTACCAACTTTAGCAAACAATTTATGAATCTGAGCTAACAATGTGTTATAATATTACCATGGACCCTGCTGGGAACAGATTTCTTCAACATGTACTCTATAAAGGGAGAAAGAACAGCAGGAATAAAGTCCAGCTAGTATTCATTCTGAAAACATTCAATTTATTTTTAATATATACGAGGTAGGCAGAATTCATAGCTTTTTCAGCTGTTCATTACAAAAATGTCCCGCCTATTGAAAGCAGTATAAGCTTTTCACAGAGAAGCTGTGTGTCTCTTTTGTATGATTTTCTGGACTGACAGCGTCACCCATACAGCACCATCTAATAACATAGTCATTCCATGAAGTGCTGGGAAGTAGCAGTCTCTATAGATACATACACATTACTGTGAACATGGGAAGTTTTGTTATTAATAAAAAAAGGATACCACCTTTATTTCCAAAAATAAGTGCAACATAGGGGCAACTCTGTTTAATAACCAAATGTTATATCGGGTGGTTTTTTTTTTAAAGAATACAAATTTTTTATCATATAACCACAGGGACACTGCAGTGGCTATAAGTCTTTTTTTTTCCTCAGCCTGTTGTAACTTCAGTTATAAGTCAAGGTCTACCTTTACTAGTATAAAGCCTGAGTAAAATTAATTTGGGCTGAGGAACTTTGTAAAATCTCTTGGCTTTTATTATGGTCTCCCATACTATGAGACGGAGAATGATTCTTTTATTGGGACAGTTTTGTCACTGTGTAAATGATGTCACTGTATCAGAGGTGGTATTCAGCAGGTTTTGACCAGTTCTGGAGAACCGGGAGCGGAATTTTTGAGTAGTTCCGAGAACTGGCAAATACATCCTCTGGCTGGAGACTTTACAGTACCCTTTTCCTGCCATGCCCACCAAGCCAGAACCGGTAGTTAAAAAAATTTGCACTGTAACATAATTTGTGGATCAGATCAATCTAATACAACATCCAGTTTCTTTTATTGGCAAATTGATGCCCTTAAAATGGCAACAACAGTAGGACAGAATAAGAGGGGAAGTGATTGCCTTGTCCTACTTTTGTCTCCTAGCAACTCATATTCAGTGGTATACTGTTTATAAAACTGGAGTTTTATAAACAATGTACTTCATGTAGCTGTAAAGATTAATGTGACTTATCTAATCTTCTTTTAAAAAGTCTAGAAACCATTTTCATCCAGTGAAATACAGTTAGTTTGTCGGTTAGTTATTGGATGACTTCACCTATCATTAAAGAAAGAAAAAATAACTTCTCTTTTTCTTCACACTACCATTGTGTTATCAACATCAATTATTTTCCTTTTCAGACTCTTCCAGAACCCAGTTTCACTGAACTATTTTTGTCTTCACCAGTTGTTAAATGAAAAGAAATACCCCTTTTCTACTTGCTAATTGGTCCTTGCACCATGTTTACTGCACAAATTCATATTCTGCTGTAAGACTCTGCTGTGAAGAGAGTTATTGGTGACATTGAGTAGATAAAAGAAAACAGATGTCAAAAAGGTTGACTTGATGAAATTTTATGTACAAAAAGAGGATTTTAGATATATTATAGTTGTCAAAATAGAACTAACAGACTTATGCTTCTTTACAAATGTATCTACCTACTCATAATCAAAATGAGTTAATCCATGCCATTCCATGGGTAATGTTTACAGCCTTGAAGATTCATTAAAAAAGCCCATCATTTTTTTGAAAAAAAAGAAGGCATTCTTTTTGAATGGATTGTATCACCCTAGTTTATAAAAATAAGCTGCTTGCAGTTACCAAAAACATGCCCTCATTTCTCATCTACAATTTATGTGCTAAAAGAGACGGAAATCTTACTTAAAAGCTGTTAAGCAACAGTCGACAAGCTGCATTAGAGGAAAGAAGTCAGCATAATAAGTTGATGACCATTAAGATTGAATGGAGATCTGACAGCTAATTTCATAAAGACCCTCTAGAGTCACACACAGTCTTAGAGGATGGGAAGGTGGGCAGACAAGCCCAACCCTAGCCAACTTGCTTTCTTTTCAGAGCTCTTCCTCTTTCTTGTCTAACTCCAGAGAAGTAATAACTGTTGATTAGCCTTTAGAATTACAGGGCAAGCAGTTGGATTTTGGGTCAAGGGTGAGCTGAGATTCTCTGAAGCAGCTGGAGAAGGTGAGAGTTAAACTGAACAATTGAACAGAGGACATGGGTTGACCTTGTAATAAAGGTTACTGTTAGCACTCCCCCAGTCTTTTCTACAAACATTAAGTTTAAGATGAAGAAAGGATAATATTCTCTTCTTGTGCTTTGGTGAGGTGTTGTCAGCTCTCTGTGGTTTAATTTAATTATATACTCAGTGGCTCTAAATACCAGAAGTCCTGATTGTGAATATGACTGTAGCATCTTGGAATCCATGCAAAGTACCAAAAGGGATCTGCAACGAATAAACCACATCAACTCAGATTTGAAAAACTTAACATAAATTGCCACCCATTCCTTTACTTTTAATTCTGAGCATCTGTTTCTCTCCCCCCACCCGCACCCCATTTTGGCTCCACCATCTGAATACACTCCACTAGGTTATACAATGTACAGTGCTTGTTTCTTTACAGCTCTCATCATTGCCCCCACAGGTATGACCTGTGGGGGCCATCTAGGCTGGCATCTTGGGAATTGTAGTCAGTGTGTCTTGAACGTAGGAGGTTGGGAAAATGACATTGTACTTTTCAGGATCTTTGTTTGATAGTGAGCCAAAATAAAATATAAACGCGGCAGTCAAGGAATGTTATAAGTATGTTATTAGAGTTTACATTTCATTGAATGTTATTCTAGTATCTGTGTATAGATCTCAGACTTAAATTGCTCATGACAGTGCTTCTTTTATGCCAGGTAGATACTCTTTTTCATACTGAAATTTGTCTTTGTTCAGATATTTATAGTGTCTTTTAGAGTAGTGTGTCAAAGTAGAAATAGAAACAGAACAGTCTGGACAGTTTGCTAAGAAATATGAGGCTTCCTTTGCTTATTATAGTTACTGGTCACTGTTCTTTTTTAATTAATAGTTGATCATATTTTCCAACCTATGAAACTAAATAAATTCAAGAATACCATGTAATCAGCTTCAGCATCTCGGTGAATATATGCTGAAGGATGCTTCCCTTCCTTTTTCCATGTAGGCATCTTGCATAGGACTATTTCTTTCTCCTTTTACATTGATGAAGTCTTTACTCTTCCCACTGTTAACACCTACGCATGTACTGAACATCTCCAAGGAGACCAGGAAACCCTTGAGTCCTGCAATGGTGAATCCTCCAATGAGACAGCAAGCAGGGGACATGTCCTTGAGGCATGTAAACTTCCAGCTGTCCTCTTACAGGCATTAATTTCCTTCTGGCTCCTACAAGCAGGCTTTCTCCTTCATATCTGAAATGTTGGTGAGTCCTTTAGCTTCCTTGGAGTGAGCTGTGTAGGAATACACTTCATGAATCTCTTTGTTCTTTTCCCCAGTCTCCAGGTTTTATCACCTGCAACATACTCAAAAATTCCAAATGTCTCTTCAGCTGTGGCACTGACATCCCAATTCCTTTTATAGTTTCCCTTGCCACTGTTTCTTAGATCTGGCTATTGCTGATTTATTACATGGGGGTGCATTATCCCCCTTGAAACTAAGCAGGGATCTTGAATATATAGCATTCCAGTTCTTGTTTGAATTGTAAAGATAGTGTTTGTGTTGTTAGCTGATGTTTTCATAACAGGCAAAGGCTGGATCCAATACTGACAAAGCCATACTGAACAGCCAAAGTCATTGTTTAACAGACTTTATTTAAATATGTAAATGAATATGAGGTTATTTGAAATAACAAGGTCAATAACCTCATTAACAGCATGGGTAAAAGCCAATAGCATAGTTATGCAATTATTGTCTAACTCTAAGAATTAAAGTTTGATTTTTTATGTTAAAGGAAATCCATAGAAATGCAGGACTTCCCAGTTCATTCATTTATTTCTCTTTAACACAGACAAAGTAGCAGCAAAGTAAG